CTAGGTGGTCTGCAGGTTCTGGACTCACCGCCGGCCCATCTGTGGTGGTGTAACGGACCGTGATGTGGATCAGCCGGCCTGGTTTCACCGCTGCTGACGGCAGGCTGATGTTGAGCGAGGAGCCGTAGTCTGTGAACGGGTCGACCCGGTACGTGAGGGAGACAGGGGCCTCCTGTCCGGCCCCGGGGACCTTACAATCTATGGAGTGGATGAGGAGGGAGGAGTGGGAGTCCAGGACCAGGGTATGGACCCCAGGCTGGACCGGGACCAGGTCCAGAACCAACCAGCCGCTCATCTCCTTCACGGCAAAATTCAGCCGCAGGTCCAGGTGGAAGTGTCGCAGCTGGAAGCTGCGGAAGTTAGACACCGAGGCTACGTCCACCAGGGGACATCGCGGGGACCCGGGACCCGCTGAGGGCCGGCTGGGGTCCCCGACACAACGGGCCCCAGAGCCCGGCAGGGATTTACGGCAGCAGCACAGTGAGGTCGGAGTCTGGTGGAGCTCTGCCATTGTGAGCTAAACCTGGGACTAAACCCCACTTAGACCTGGACTAACTGCATCCAATACCAACAGAAACCCGACTTTGAACTTCAGAACCCACACAGACCGTCACCAGAGGGGCAGCAAGGACCAGACTACATCCAGAACCGGTTTTTAAAAGTCAACCCTCTATGTAGGCCAGGCCTCACATTCACAAACAAAACCTTTATTTAGACCAGAAACAATCAACAAGGACGCTAAAATAGGGACCAGCTGCCTCTGGACCGTCCTAAACCTGGGTCAGACTACATTTAGACCTTTGAAACCAGGTCTAAATGTAGTCAGGACCAGTTCACCTGTCCAGTTTCAGCAGAGGAATGAATTGAAAACGTATTTAACCAAAATCTGAGTCTATTTAAACCCAGTTTTAAACCAGAGACCAGCAGAATGTAATCCTGGATGTGAGCCGGGCCTCAAGACATTCAAAACCCAAAAGACTAACTGAGGTCCAAACCAAATCCAGACCAGTTATAAACACTAATAAGGACCCATCAAGAAGTGGGTTCAACCCAAGTGTAGCTGCTTCTAGACCCACTTTTTTTTGTATTACCCGGTCTAACACAGGACTAATTACCAGAACCGGAACTCTGTCAACACTTAAAACCTGATTTTGGCCCAGTTTTAAACCACAGACGCACTGAATTCAACCCGCTGTGGAAACCAGACCAAACTTCATTCAAAAACTTAGTAAACTAAAGTCAAACTAAACTCAAAACCTGCTATAAACACCGAAAAGGACACTTGAATTGAGTTCCACTCTCTAAACTCAACATTTAAGGCTCGGTTCAGCCCATTTAAAACTCAAGTCAACCGAACTTAAAGTACATCTGAACCCAGTTTTAGCAGAAGCTAGCTAATCTGTAGCACTTTTAGCTTTGAGTGAGTTCACCAAACTACCTTTAAAAAACAGGCACTTTAACAGGCGGAGTGAAAGCAGCGATAACTAACGTTCATTTCACTGGTTTAACTAACCTGGTTAGCACTTAGTCTCATTACAATTAGCACCAGAGAGCATTATTTGTGGTTTGTGGGCAAACAGTCTACGTGAAATCCATCAGGAGCCGGAGAGGAAGAACCGGACGAACACCGGCTCCTCTTGTGAACTCATCCCGGCTCTGCGCTCTGCGTCCCGGACACAGAATCCAGATGCTCCCGGTCAGGTTTAATGTGAGCTGGCGGTGAGTCCGCGTAATGGAGGAGAGACAGGGAGATGAAGGAGGACACTTTAATCAGACAAAGACAACAGAGGAGAAAGAGAGGACAGTGGAGGGTCTGCTCCGGACCAAACAGGAAGTAACAACACCAGGGGAAAGTTTGTGCAGGCCGGAGGGGGGCGCTGTGGAGCCGGCTCCACCGAACCGGGTCAAAGGTCACCTAATTAACTCACACATAAATCAGTTTAATATGATCATTTAAAACCAGCAGTAACTAACAGGTGTGGATTATATTAAATTATCACATTAACAACAAAAGAGTGTGCAGACTATTTTAAAGAATAAAAATACATTACACTCAACTGATGACCAGCTGCTCTGTTTTCCTTCATTAACATTATATAGAATATATATAATAGTAGTACAAATAATAACAATCATTTCCTTCCGCCACTGCAGAATAACCAAAGTTTAGGTCAGCAAAACTTTCCAAGACAATTTTCAGGGATCAATAATGACTTTACAACTTCAAGTTATTCTGCAGCAGTAGAAGGAAATGATTGTTGTACTATATTATATCTATTATATATAATATTAATGAGGGAAGACAGAGCAGCTGGTCATAGTTTGATCCTACAGTGAAATAATGAACAAAACTCCTTCATTTAATTGTTAAATTTAGATCTGAAAATGTGTGTTTTGGTGACGGAAACGTTGTTTTAACTTTGGTAGCATTGAAAGTTTTTCACTGGACTTGAAGTACTTAGATTTACAGAAGAACTACAAACATGGCGGCTGTTCTGAAACGTGTGACTGGTGGTGTAGAAGTAAAAACTACGTAGAGATTTTTAAATGGAACCAAACTCAAACTGAAGTTCTGATCTCTGTGTAAATGTATAACTATAAATAAATCAAGGATCAATAAACCAGACACAAGATGTGAGAATGAAATGTAGAGAAAGAGTAAAACCAAATAAACAGAGCTGTTATTATTTTATTAAGTTAAAGTTGTTTGACAAACACAAAGTTTTAATCTTAAAATAACTTTATTGACAGTATTTGAAGGCAGTTATGAAGTCATGCTATAAGGCTGTTAGAAACACAGCAGAGACACCGAGACATGATGCTGTCATGTGACTTGTAATGTGTCTTTAAAGGACAACTCTTTCACTTGATGTTTTTTAAATCAGTGATGAGGCCGTCTCCTGCAGATCGGAGGACAAACAGGACGTCCTGAAATAAAAACCAAGTCAGAAGTCCTTCCTGCCAGCGCGGGCCGTCACAGATCTCACGTTTACAGTTTGACAGCAGCAGCAACCGTTAAAACTACAAACACAAACACCTTCACACAGCAGGTAACAGACCGGCGGGAGAAAGCACCACGATTTAAAAAGGAGAAGAAGAAAGATAAACACATCTGCAGGACACACCTGAGGTTCACAGGCGATTTCCTTCAGTGAAGTCACGTCGATATTAAACAGCTTTTATTTACATCCTGTTAGAGCCTGTTAGAGCCTCGGATCGGTTAGTGTTTGTGTTTACTATCACACACCTGAACACCTGCAGGTCACCTGGAGCAGAAACACCTGCAGGTCACCTGGAGCAGAAACACCTGCAGGTCACCTGGAGCAGAAACACCTGCAGGTCACCGGGAGCAGAAACACCTGCAGGTCACCGGGAGCAGAAACACCTGCAGGTCACCGGGAGCAGAAACACCTGCAGGTCACCTGGAGCAGAAACACCTGCAGGTCACCGGGAGCAGAAACACCTGCAGGTCACCGGGAGCAGAAACACCTGCAGGTCACCTGGAGCAGAAACACCTGCAGGTCACGTGGAGCACAAACACCTGCAATTCACCGGGAGCAGAAACACCTGCAGGTCACCGGGAGCACAAACACCTGCAATTCACCGGGAGCAGAAACACCTGCAGGTCACGTGGAGCAGAAACACCTGCAGGTCACCTGGAGCAGAAACACCTGCAGGTCACCGGGAGCAGAAGCACCTGCAGGTCACGTGGAGCAGAAACACCTGCAGGTCACGTGGAGCAGAAACACCTGCAGGTCACCTGGAGCAGAAACACCTGCAGGTCACCTGGAGCAGAAACACCTGCAGGTCACGTGGAGCAGAAACACCTGCAGGTCACCTGGAGCACAAACACCTGCAGGTCACCAGGAGAAGAAACACCTGCAGGTCACCTGGAGCAGAAACACCTGCAGGTCACCTGGAGCAGAAGCACCTGCAGGTCACCTGGAGCAGAAGCACCTGCAGGTCACCTGGAGCAGAAACACCTGCAGGTCACCTGGAGCACAAACACCTGCAGGTCACCTGGAGCACAAACACCTGCAGGTCACCTGGAGCACAAACACCTGCAGGTCACCTGGAGCACAAACACCTGCAGGTCACCTGGAGCACAAACACCTGCAGGTCACCTGGAGCACAAACACCTGCAGGTCACCTGGAGCAGAAACACCTGCAGGTGACAGATCCAGCTTTTCCCAAAGAATAAAGGTGATGCACGAACTAACACCTGTGTTTCTGAGGAGAGAAGCTCACGTGGCGCTTCAGCAACACTTGAATCTCACGAAACCTGACACAAGTCGTCCAGTTTGTCTCAGCTGATCCCCAAACAAGGCGTGACGTCCTCACCCTGCACAGAGATCAGAAGTCGGGGGAGACGGCTGGACGCAGGCGGTCAGGTGGTCTCGTGGTCAACGACACGTAACTGCAGCGTCTCCAGTGTTTCACACGTCCTGCACTCACATATCGATCGTAGATCGATCGATGGACAGGAAGGCAGCGCGTCGTGTCTCTGGCTTCTGGCTGAGGTTGACTTTTTAACTATTATAAACTAATCTGTCCTCCTCCCTCTTCTTCTGCTGCGTTCCTAATTAAAAGACAGTCAGAGCGTACTTCCTGTTGCAGGTGAGTTATGTCCGGATCCTGATCTCCGCTCTCCACAAGCCGGCGTTAAAACAAAAAGGGAAACAAACATGAAGTTTCTGGGAGTCAGAAGCTGTCTGATAAAATCGAGGAAACTGATCATTTGAAACAACCTCTGGGCCACAGGTCATTTAAATAATCAGTTTCCTCTGCAGGAGCCTGGAACAGCTTCAGACAGCCGGGCCCCGAAGTAAAACATGTAAAATGACGGTCCAGGGTTTAGGGGGGCGACTCAGGTGATTCACACACCTGGTTCCCATCAGGTCACCAACAGAGCGACGACGTCACCAAACAATATGTCCCATGATGCAAAGAGGCAGCAGTGAGAAGATGAAGATGATGAAGACACAGATTCAACAGACGTGTTTCAGCCTGAATATTTTAGTTTTATACAGATCAGTATTCTACACCCAGAGCCGCTCTGCTGTCAGCGTCACTCTGCGTCCTGCTTTAGCTATAACATAGAGTACAGAAGAGGACCAGGACCAGGACCAGGACCATCACATCAGTCCAACCTCGAATGTGATCTTTGTTGTCCCGTTAAATAAACATCTACAGAAACTAGACTTCCTGTAATCCAGCGCGCCCTTCATCCTCCTCCTCATCCTCGGACGGAGATCTTGTTTTCCACGGCGGCCAGCATGGAGCACAGCCGAGAGTTCTCATTGGCCAGCAGCTTGGACGGCTCGTCAAACTCCGCCACCTGAACCAATCAGAGCAGAGGTGTCAGTTTCAGGACAAGGATTACACAGTTTGCACGGACCCTGGTGCGTCCCCATGCACAGAGTGTAAAAGCAGCGGTGAACTGGGCCCGTCGGAGAGGATCTACCTGCAGACTCATCTACCCGGGGCAGGAAACCTCTCAACTGAAGTAGGTTCATCAGAAAATGTGAGGTTCATGAGAACCAGATGCCTTACTGGTCTTTTCTGAGTCAGGTATAGACAGTGTAAAGCTAACAAGAGCCGAATGTCAACATGAACCCTGGTGTGCAGCGTGAGAAGAGTTCCAGCTCCCAGACTAAACCTCTAACCCCCCCAGACCTGCTGGACTCCTGTTGGACTCCTGCGGGCTGGCGTACCTGTCCCTGGTTGAGCACCATGATGCGGTCTGAGGCGAGGACGGTGTGCAAGCGGTGGGCGATGGTCAGGGTGGTGCAGTCCTGGAACGAGCTCCTGATGGTCTCCTGGATCAGAGCGTCCGTCTCCGCATCCATGGCTGCTGTGGCCTCGTCAAGGATCAGGACCTGAGAGACCAGAACCAGGGCAGGAGGGCTCAGAGGGTTACTGACTGTCTCTCACCTGTTTGTCTCTAACTTGTCTGTCTCTCACCTGTCTCTCTCTCACCTGTTTGTCTCTCACCTGTTTGTCTCTCACCTTTTTGTCTCTCACCTGTCTGTCTCTCACCTGTCTCTCTCTCACTTGTCTCTCTCTCACCTGTTTGCCTCTCACTTGTCTGTCTGTCTCTCACCTTATTGTCTCTCACCTGTCTGTCTCTCACCTGTCTGTCTCTCACCTTTTTGTCTCTCACCTGTTTGTCTCTAACTTGTCTCTCTCTCACCTGTCTCTCTCTCACTTGTCTCTCTCTCACCTGTTTGCCTCTCACTTGTCTGTCTCTCTCTCACCTTATTGTCTCTCACCTGTCTGTCTCTCACCTTTTTGTCTCTCACCTGTTTGTCTCTCACCTGTCTCTCTCTCACTTGTCTCTCTCTCACCTGTTTGCCTCTCACTTGTCTGTCTGTCTCTCACCTTATTGTCTCTCACCTGTCTGTCTCTCACCTTTTTGTCTCTCACCTGTTTGTCTCTAACTTGTCTCTCTCTCACCTGTCTCTCTCTCACTTGTCTCTCTCTCACCTGTTTGCCTCTCACTTGTCTGTCTCTCTCTCACCTTATTGTCTCTCACCTGTCTGTCTCTCACCTTTTTGTCTCTCACCTGTTTGTCTCTAACTTGTCTCTCTCTCACCTGTCTCTCTCTCACCTGTTTGTCTCTCACCTGTTTGTCTCTCACCTTTTTGTCTCTCACCTGTCTGTCTCTCACCTGTCTCTCTCTCACTTGTCTCTCTCTCACCTGCTTGCCTCTCACTTGTCTGTCTCTCTCTCACCTTATTGTCTCTCACCTTTTTGTCTCTCACCTGTCTGTCTCTCACCTGTCTCTCTCTCACTTGTCTCTCTCTCACCTGTTTGCCTCTCACTTGTCTGTCTCTCACCTGTTTGTCTATCACCTGTTTGTCTATCACCTGTTTGTCTCTCACCTGTCTCTCTCACCTTTTTGTCTCTCACTTGTCTGTCTCTCACCTGTCTCTCTCTCACCTGTTTGTCTCTCACCTTTTTGTCTCTCACCTGTTAGTCTCTCACTTGTCTGTCTCTCACCTGTCTTTCTCTCACCTTTTTGTCTCTCACCTGTCTGTCTCTCACTTGTCTCTCTCTCACCCGTTTGCCTCTCACTTGTCTGTCTCTCACCTGTCTCTCTCTCTCTCACCTGTTTGTCTCTCACCTGTATCTCTCACCTGTCTGTCTCTCACTTGTCTGTCTCTCACCTGTCTCTCTCACATGTTTGTCTCTCACCTGTTTGTCTCTCACCTTTTTGTCTCTCACCTGTCTCTCTCTCACCTGTTTGTCTCTCACCTGTATCTCTCACCTGTCTGTCTCTCACTTGTCTGTCTCTCACCTGTCTCTCTCTCACATGTTTGTCTCTCACATGTTTGTCTCTCACCTGTTTGTCTCTCACCTGTCTCTCTCTCACTTGTCTGTCACTCACCTGTCTCTCACTTGTCTGTCTCTCACTTGTCTCTCTTTCACCGGTTTGCCTCTCACTTGTCTGTCTCTCACCTGTCTCTCTCTCACATGTTTGTCTCTCACCTGTTTGTGTCTCACCTTTTTGTCTCTCACCTGTCTCTCTCTCACTTGTCTGTCACTCACCTGTCTCTCACTTGTCTGTCTCTCACTTGTCTCTCTTTCACCGGTTTGCCTCTCACTTGTCTGTCTCTCACCTGTCTCTCTCTCACCTGTTTGTCTCTCACCTGTCTGTCTCTCACCTGTTTGTCTCTCACTTGTCTGTCTTTCTCTTACCTGTTTGTCTCTCACCTGTTAGTCTCTCACCTGTCTGTCTCTCACCTTTTTGTCTCTCACCTGTCTCTCACATGTTTGCCTCTCACTTGTCTGTATCTCACCTGTCTCTCTCTCACCTGTTTGTCTCTCACCTTTTTGTCTCTCACTTGTCTCTCTCTAACTTGTTTGTCTCTCACTTGTCTGTCTCTCTCTCACCTTTTTGTCTCTCACTTGTCTCTCTCTAACTTGTTTGTCTCTCACCTGTTAGTCTCTCACCTGTTAGTCTCTCACCTGTTTGTCTCTCACCTGTATCTCTCTCACCTGTCTGTCTCTCACCTTTTTGTCTCTCACCTGTTTGTCTCTCACCTGTCTGTCTCTCAACTGTTTGTCTCTCACCTCTCTCTCTCTCACCTGTTTGTCTCTCACTTGTCTCTCTATCACCTGTTTGTCTCTCACCTTTTTGTCTCTCACCTGTTAGGCTCTCACCTGTCTGTCTCTCACTTGTCTGTCTCTCACCTGTTTGTCTCTCACCTGTCTGTCTCTCACCTGTTTGTCTCTCACTTGTCTGTCTCTCTCTTACCTGTTTGTCTCTCACCTGTCTGTCTCTCACCTGTCTGTCTCTCACTTGTCTGTCTCTCTCTCACTTTTCTGTCTCTCACCTGTCTCTCTCTCACCTGTTTGTCTCTCACTTGTCTGTCTCTCACCTGTCTCTGTCTCACCTGTTTGTCTCTCACCTGTCTGTCTCTCACCTGTTTGTCTCTCACTTGTCTGTCTCTCTCTCACCTGTCTCTCTCTCACCTGTCTGTCTCTCACTTGTCTGTCTCTCTCTTACCTGTTTGTCTCTCACCTGTCTGTCTCTCACTTGTCTGTCTCTCTCTCATTTTTCTGTCTCTCACCTGTCTCTCTCTCACCTGTTTGTCTCTCACTTGTCTGTCTCTCACCTGTCTCTGTCTCACCTGTCTGTCTCTCACCTGTTTGTCTCTCACTTGTCTGTCTCTCTCTTACCTGTTTGTCTCTCACCTGTCTCTCTCTCACCTGTCTGTCTCTCACCTGTCTGTCTCTCTCACCTGTCTGTCTCTCACCTGTTTGTCTCTCACCTGTCTCTCTCTCACCTGTTTGTCTCTCACCTGTCTGTCTCTCACCTGTTTGTCTCTCACTTGTCTGTCTCTCTCTCACTTTTCTGTCTCTCACCTGTCTCTCTCTCACCTGTTTGTCTCTCACTTGTCTCTGTCTCACCTGTTTGTCTCTCACTTGTCTGTCTCTCTCTTACCTGTTTGTCTCTCACCTGTCTGTCTCTCACTTGTCTGTCTCTCTCTCATTTTTCTGTCTCTCACCTGTCTCTCTCTCACCTGTTTGTCTCTCACTTGTCTGTCTCTCACCTGTCTCTGTCTCACCTGTCTGTCTCTCACCTGTTTGTCTCTCACTTGTCTGTCTCTCTCTTACCTGTTTGTCTCTCACCTGTCTCTCTCTCACCTGTCTGTCTCTCACTTGTCTGTCTCTCTCACCTGTCTGTCTCTCACCTGTTTGTCTCTCACTTGTCTGTCTCTCACCTGTCTCTCTCTCACCTGTTTGTCTCTCACCTGTCTGTCTCTCACCTGTTTGTCTCTCACTTGTCTGTCTCTCTCTCACTTTTCTGTCTCTCACCTGTCTCTCTCTCACCTGTTTGTCTCTCACTTGTCTCTGTCTCACCTGTTTGTCTCTCACTTGTCTGTCTCTCTCTTACCTGTTTGTCTCTCACCTGTCTGTCTCTCACTTGTCTGTCTCTCTCTGACTTTTCTGTCTCTCACCTGTTTGTCTCTCACCTGTCTCTCTCTCACCTGTCTGTCTCTCTCTGACTTTTCTGTCTCTCACCTGTTTGTCTCTCACCTGTCTCTCTCTCACCTGTCTGTCTCTCTCTCACTTTTCTGTCTCTCACTCACTTTTCTCTCTCTCACCTGTCTGTCTCTCATTTGTCTGTCTCTCTCTCACTTTTCTGTCTCTCACTTGTCTGTCTCTCACCTTGCATTGTCTCAGCAGAGCTCTGGCGACACACAGCAGCTGTCTCTCTCCCACGGAGAAGTTCTCTCCGTTCTCCACCACCTCCGACTCCAACTTCAGGGGCAGCTGGGACACCTGGAGGACAGACAGCCGGTTTATTATAGTGTATAACCCTGCCGCGCGACCCCATAATGGATGTTAAAACCACAACAACTATTTTTAAAGCTGCAGTCGCAGTTTGTCAGATGATTCCTTTAGTCTCTTGCTCTGATGCCATCTCGGACGCCACAGCGAGCTGCTCGAATTTGTGAGATTGTGGAAAAAGCAACAAGTTTAAAGAGGAAAAGTGTGAAAGACCAGCCCGTTCTCATTTCCACAGAATCAAATAATTCAATAGTTCACGCCATCCTCCTACGCACTGGAGGGGACTGTTCAACGCTAAAAGTACTTTAACAACAGAACAGTTGGAGGTGGTTGGGGTGGACGTTTCCTCTGTGTGAAACAAAAACACTGATTCCTTTTAGTGATGTTACGTAACTTACCTACGTAGCGTTACTTAATTTTTGTAATTTAAGTCAAGTAACGTAGTTATTTTAACCCTAACCCTTCCTAAACCTAACCAAGTAGTTTTGGTGCCTAAACTTAACCAAACTGCGACGTTTCACAACGTTAACCACTAGTTTTACGGGCGTTAAAAAAACGACGCCAAGGGGTCTTGACAAAGAGTCCATATGTGGGAGGAGAACGGGTTGGAAAGACATAAAAAACCTTGTCACGCCCATCCAGTTGAAGATCTTACGTCTCGTTTAAAGTTCGCATGGAGTCTGTAGGAGATTTAACGGTGAAGTTATTGGACTACAAAGACGAACCAGTTGGAGGAGCTCTTAACTCCAGACTCAGAGAAAGAAAGAAGGACGGGCCCCTGGTCCCCCTGGATCCTGGAACACTGAGGCCATCTGGTTTCCTGCAGGACAACACTATAAAGTACAAAGATGTGGGTACTCACACACTCCTTCATGTGACTTCTCTCCAGAGCGTCCCAGATCTGCTCCTCGCTGTACTGGTGAAACGGGTCCAAGTTGAACCTGTGGGACACACACAAAGCAATGTTCTAACTAACGTCACGCCATGCTGTCACATGATAAACCTTTTCATGTAGCGACGAGCCGTCCCTACCTGACGGTCCCACTGAACAGCACGGGGTCCTGGGGGATGATGGACAGCTTGCTGCGGAGGTCGGCCAGTCCGATGTCACTGATGTCGATGCCGTCGATCAGGATGGAGCCTCCACAGTGCTCCACCAGCCTGAACAGAACCACGCCCAGAGACGACTTCCCTGCACACACACAGACAGACTGCGGGTCTCAGAGTCTTCATCAGAGTCAAAGCCACGACCTGAGGAGACACAGAACCCTGTCCTACCTGATCCGGTCCTGCCGACAATGCCGACCTTCTCTTTGGGCCGGATGGTGCAGGTGATCCTGTTGAGAACCAATGGGAGGTTCTCCTGGTACCTCATGTCCACCTCCCTGAGCACCAGCTCCCCCTGCTGGGGCCAGTCAGCCGGAGGGGCGCGACCTTCAACCCGGGCCGGGGCTTCCTGGGACAGGGACTGAGACACAGACGGCATGGTGATTTATCCAGGCTGGGACAGAGACTGCTGCTGAGTCCAGCCTCTTTTTTAATCCCTAACACCGGTCGACCTTTCTAAGATTCCTTTGACATTCTGCCCAGCAACGACAGGTGTTTTAAATCACCTGACAGGAAGTTGGATTAACCAATCAGTTTGTTTGACGTTCAGGGACCACAACACCCTCTTCTGTGTAAACGTGTAAATATTATCTTCTCGCCTTAGTAAGACAATCTTGAATCACCTGTGGTCCAGAATGCTGTTGCTGAGCTTTAAACCAGGTCCTCTAAATAGTCTCACTGAGATTCTTTGGCCATTAAATTCAGAATCCAGTTCACTGTTCTTGTGATTCCCGCCTCTCTACATTAAAGATCTACTGCAGCTCCACATCAGCAGCCGGCCCCAGAGGTCTGATCAGGGACTGTCGGTTCATCACATGACACAGAACCTAAATGCTCGTGGATATGGTCGCTTGAAAACCTTTCAGACTCAGCAGCTGTACAGGTGCCTGAAAACCAGTGTAACCAGTACCTGGATGTAGTGGTGGATTCTCTCGACGGAGGTGAAGCGAGCTTCAGTCTCAGAGGCCAAACGCACTGTGAACTGGAACAGTCCTGTTAACTGGAATAGGGGGAGACACGGACTCCTGTCACAGGGTTGGGACTTTGTGTCGTTTGCCATTAACGACTCAGGAAGGTGCTTTACGTTACCTGGACAGCGTAGGAGATGGCGAGGCCGGCGTAGGCGGGAGGGATCTGCCCATGCATCAGGACCATCATCAGGGCGGTAATGCTGATCAGACCAACACTGATGACGTCCAGACGCACCGCCAGCCAGCGCATTGCACAGCTGAACAAGTAGAAGGGAGCCTGGTTCTGGTCCAGCAGAATCTGGTACCTGAAAACAACAACATGTTCAGACTAGGCGTGGGGGTGAGGTCCTGGATCATCATGGCTTTCATGGTTCCAACCCTGACCTGTTGAGGAAGTCGTCGCCCCTGCCATATGCCTGCAGTGTGGCCAGGCCCTGGATGCTGGAGGTGATGTGGGACATGAGGGGCGTCATAGTCACGTTGTCTAGGCGCTTCAGCTCCCGGATGAAGACCCTGGAGATGCTGTGGAGCGCTGCGAACAACAACACCAGGGGACCCACCGCTACCAGGAACCATGGGAAAACACAGCTGACAACACTCAGGCAGAAGAAGACCAGGATCACGTTCTGGATTAACATCTCAGTCTGGAAGGGCAGACGTGTGTCGACTGGAGGGGAAAACGTAAGAGGTTAGTTTCCAAAAGGATCCCAGACTCGGCCACGTACTGAACTGCATCTGGGACAGTCCCTTACCTTCGTCCATGTCCTTGGAGAAGCGGTTTAGGATTCGTGCAGTGGGCGTTGTGTCGAAGAACTTCATGGGGCAGCGGAGGATCTTGCGAAAGAGCTGGTCATGCAGCTTCGAGGAGGCGCGCAGAGTTCCCTGCAGGGCACAACCAGATTCAACAAGACTCACCACCTTCAGCTCACGAGAGACGCCGTGTGGTGCAAAGGTTTGATCTGACGTGTGAAGCAAGACAGTTCATAGAGTCCAAAACCAGGGCCCAGAGCACCTGTGGCATCAATCATTTCACCTCAACTCAGACGCTTCCAGGCTGTTGTTTTTCTGTACGATACATCAGGTGTGTCTACAGGTGTCACATCATGTGTTGCATTAGCTGTTAGTGTGAGTTTCACCTTTTAAAGTCGGCGGGAGAAGCAGAAAAGCCCACAGCTGATGTCCAGCCTGCGAGCTGGATTTAACCTCAGAGTGCAACGACCAAAGCCGACGTAACGCCATAGTTTGCGTTCAGCGTGTCTTCTCCTCACCTTCACGAATGCGATGCCTCTGAAGAGCTTGAAGAGCAGCATGACTCCCATGGAGGAGGCGTAGACCGCGACGTACTGTTGCATCATTGGATTGTCCTTCATGCTGGCGCTCACAGCTGAGCTGTTGCCCTGGGTTACCGTGGTGTTCTGGAAAAACAGGTACAGAAAGATGTGAGAGGAGTCAGGAGGTGATGAGGAGGAGGTGTCTTTGAAGGTTCTCGGTCATCCAGGTCACAGTTCTCCAAGGAAGGTTAAATCAAGGGCAGCTGGACTGGTCAAAGGTACTCGAAGAGTGGAGGCTCCTTCGGTTCTGACTAGCTGTTTTCACTCTGCCTTATTGTCCAAGAGTATTGGGGCAATATGCCGGATCTCTGCGCTGTATGAAAGGTACGGCGCCGGAAAGGGGGGTCAGATTCAATCCGCCGGGAACATTGGTAGAAACAGAGACGGAACAATGTTTGTGAAAAGCCAGTGTTGTGTTAAACGGTCTTTTTCTGTCACACCGCTGGTTCCGTAAAGCCGGATCGCTGTGTGAGAGAACACTTGGTCGCAGGATTATGGCGCTGCTAACTTTTGTTTAGTATGAACGAGCGAATGAAGGATACTGCCGCATATTCTTTTATTGTTTATTGAGGGATCTCTGGATGAAAGGGGTTCTGACTGCAGGGAGTCGCAGCTGTTGACCCTCTGTTAGGTCGTTATCAAGGTGATGGATACCGCTGGTTCGTTAGAGCTCCTGGCTGCTGTAACGACAGTTGTTGTGGTCTTTGGAGTCACATGAGGCCAAACGTGAGCGTTTGTTCAGCCTCCTGGAAAAGAGACGAAAGCACTGTGGGTGGGGGACAAGTGGGGTCTCAGCTGCCCTTGATTTTAACCTTCGTTGGATGGTGATGATGGTGATGATGAGAGGTGACGATGAGGGGGTGAAGAGGAGGAGGTGTCTCACCCCGCTGCCCTGGTTGATCCAGTAGCTGAGCCACCACTGGCAGAAGGCGGAGCTTCCCACATTGAGAACGAACAGAGCCAGGATCAACAGGCAGGGGGCGGAGCCACCGCACGCCGCCATGTAGAGCCGGAACACGGGCCAGGCCACGCCCCCACACTGCTGCTCCTCCCCTTTAATGTCACACGATCATTTTCACATTGAGAGATTATCACATGAGACATGTGTAACACGTGTTTGGTTTCTACAGTTTGGAATAAAAATGTATTTCAATTAAAGCAAACAAAATCCTGAAATCTAAATAAGCAGATTCATTTATTACTTATCGAATCAAAGACACCGACACATTCTCCTCGAAAATAAAAAGGCTGTTAAAATGCTACTGTTAGACATGTTTGTATGAATAAAGTTCAATTCAATTGTGTTTCTATAAAGTGCGGGGAAAAGGTAGAACACAGATGTGTCAGCATTACCCTTGATGACCGGAGTGTCCTTCTTCACTGATTTTGGTTTAATGTCAGCTGGTTTCCTCTGAGAACCGCCATTCTTCCTGCTGGGAGCCTGAAACAGACAGACAGACAGGTGGACAGACAGTAAGACAGGTAGACAGGTGGACAGTTTCCACCGTGTTACAAGTTTGGCCGCTAGTAAAACTGGCTTCAGAGCTCGGAGTGATTCCTCCAATCACCAGACCAATAGCCAGACAGACAGACAGACAGGAAGACAGGTGGACAGACAGACAGGTAGACAGACAGACAGGAAGACAGACAGGTAGACAGGAAGACAGACAGGTAGACAGGTGGACAGACAGGAAGACAGGTAGACAGGTGGACAGACAGACAGGAAGACAGGTGGACAGACAGACAGACAGACAGGAAGACAGATGGACAGACATACAGGTAGACAGGAAGACAGGTGGACAGACAGAAAGGTAGGTAGACAGACAGGTGGACAGACAGACAGGAAGACAGACAGGTAGACAGACAGGTGGACAGACAGACAGGAAGACAGACAGGTAGAAAGACAGGTGGACAGACAGACAGGTAAACTGGTGGACAGGTACCTCTATGTGAGGAGTGTCTCCGAGCTGGAAGTGATTGAACATGGCGGCGTAGTCTCGATTCAGTTTCATCAGGTTGTCATGGTTACCCTGCTCCGCTATACTCCCCTCTCTCATCAGGATGACATCATCACAGTCCACCAGGTACTGCGCGCACACACACAAACACACACACATACACAGGTGATCTCCTTGTCAGACAGGTGTAGCGCAGCGTTCCCGTACCTGTCAGGAGGAGTCTCACCTGCAGCTGGTGGGTGATGAAGATGACAGTCTTGTGGCGCAGCTGCTTCTTGATGGCGTTGTGGAAGATGTGGTTGGCCACGTGGGCGTCGAGGCTGCTGAGTGGGTCATCCAGGACGTAAACATCCCGGTCACTGTAGAGGGCGCGGGCCAAGCTGATTCGCTGGCGCTGCCCACCACTCAGGTTGGCACCACGCTCGCCGATCTGATGGGAGGGAAATATAAAAGTCTTCACGACCATCACAAGGTTCTGATATCAATGGACTGTGATCTCTTAAGCACTGCAGGAACTTATCAAACCTCTACCGTCTCTGGTTCTGTTTCCATTTCTCTCCCACTGCTGTGGGGACGAACTCTTGGAACTAAAAGGAGGTGATACTAAATCCAACTACCAGAATACCAGTGTTTCTGACATTGGTCTACGTCATTAAACTGCGTATTATATTTTGCAATCAAGCACAGTAGACCCTGGTGCCAACAGGAAGTAGCCATGTAGTAGTACTACATAGGACCAAAACTGGCTTCACTGCTCTCCATACAAACCCACGGGGTGGCTTCATCCATTCATTATACTGTGTGTGGGTGCTGGCCACCGTGACCTTCACAATCGCTCCTCCGAAACATGTTGGTCACAGAGACTAAATCCATACACAGTCTATGATCCCAACAAGGACAGCAACCATCACTTTACTGCTGTAATGCAGATGCTGGACAAGCCAACATGTCCAGGCTTCATTAGTGTTTGTAGAGATGGAGCTGGCCTCAGCTGTTGGAAACCAAAAGCGGGACCAAAAGATTTCTCAGCATCTAGCAGAAACGGGGATACAACACACATTCATCATTTTCCACCGCCTATACGGAGCAATGTCGTCGCCCAGATGTCCTCCTCCCTAGCCACATCCTCCAGGTTTGGGATCCCACGATGTTCCAAGTCTAGACAGGACACATAATCCAGTGTGTTCTGCGTCAAGTGTGGGGTCTCCTCCCAGTTGGATGTATTCAGACAGGCATCAAGGAGGATCCTGATCACATGTCTAAACCACCTCAACTGACTCCGTACATGCAGAAAAGCAGTGGTCCTCCAAGATGTCTTAGCTCCTTACCCTATCCCAAAGGGTAAGCACACACACTCTTGTTAGCAACTTACTCTTTCAGTCACCTACAAACCTCATGACCACAAGTAAGGGTTTTAAAGAACAGCATCCTGGTTCAGCTCTCTCTTCACCACGACAGTCCAGTACAACATCAACATCCCTGCTGATTCCAAAATAATCCACCTATCACTCACATTCCATCTTACCCTCCTTCAAGACCCAAGACATTCCAACTCCAGAGGTAGCAGTCTGTGTTTTTCCAGCAGAGTACCACAGGCCCTAACTTGGAGTTGCCTCTCATCTCCGCCACTTCAAACTGGTCTTCATACAGCCCCAGTGTTCATTGGAAGTCAAGGTCTGAAGAAACCAGAAGAACCACATCATCTGCAAAAGCCGATCCAGACACCACCATACCCGAAACTCTCCACATGCCCTGGACGAGCCCTGCTGAGAATGAGTTCTCACTCCAATTATACAAGGGCTGAACGGCTTGTTGTAACAGCCCACACTCATGCTACAAGATACTCTACGGGAAACAGTCAAAAAAGCCACAAAACAAATGTTGACTGTATGGTCAAACCCACAGGACACCTCCAGCATCATGGCTCCTCGGGTTCAGTTGCAGTTGAGCAAACCAAAAATTACAAAGTGGTTCAATGAGTTGGACGCTGTTTTGAGCCACCAACTAGCTTCCAGCACGATAGTACTAATACTATGTATCCAACGAAGGTTAAAATCAAGGGCAAGTACATAAAGTTGATAAAATCAAGGGCAAGTACATAATACTATGTACTTCTTCCTCTACCTAAAGACCATAGTCTACACTAAAGTACAAACAGGAAGTGATGATACCTCTGTAAGGTCAGCATTGGGCAGCAAGGTGAGATCTGGTCTGAGACAGCAGGCACTCAGTACTGACTGATACCTGCAGAGACCGACAAAAAGACAAGTCTTAGAGCTGGACCACACCCCGAGACCAGTTCAATAGGTTCAGGATGCCCACACCTGTCCCCCAGGCATCTTCTGCTCACCTGTCCTCTTGGTACTCCTGTCCAAACAGGATGTTGTCTCTCAGTGTTGCATTCAGGATCCAGGCCTGCTGAGCCACGTAGGCCAGCCTTCCTCTGACAGCCACACTGCCCTCCAACATAGTCATCTGTCAATACACCCATCAACAATCAGTACAGGGAGCATGTAGGAAAAGTAGGAAGTGAGGTTTTACAGGATGTTGGAGGTAACATTACCTGTCCTAAGATGGCGGAAATCAGGGAAGTTTTTCCACTGCCGACGCTACCGCAGACACCGACCAGCGTGCCCTGACAGACAGACAAATATTAGAATTGTAACATGTCCACTCTCCCAGGTGTTTGGACCTGACTCCTAGACCTTCCTGCGGGAAACTCTTGCACCTGACTCCTGGACCTACATGTTTGACACTCTTGGACCCAACTTCTGCACCTACCTGCGAGAAACTCTTGCACCTGACTCCTGGACCTACCTGTTTGACACTCTTGGACCCAACTTCTGCAGCTACCTACTGGACACTCTTGCACACGACTCCTGGACCTACATGTTGGACACTCCTGCACCTGACTCCTGGACCTACCTGTTTGACACTCTTGGACCCAACTTCTGCAGCTACCTACTGGACACTCTTGTACCTCACCTACATGTTGGACACTCTTGCACCTGACTCCTAGACCTACATGTTTGACACTCTTGCACCTGACTCCTGGACCTACATGTTGGACAATCTTGGACCCAACTTCTGCAGCTACCTGCTGGACACTCTTGCACACGACTCCTGGAACTACATGTTGGACACTCCTGCACCTGACTCCTGGACCTACCTGTTTGACACTCTTGGACCCAACTTCTGCAGCTACCTACTGGACACTCTTGTACCTCACCTACATGTTGGACACTCTTGCACCTGACTCCTAGACCTACATGTTTGACACTCTTGGACCCAACTTCTGCACCTACCTGCGAGAAACTCTTGCACCTGACTCCTGGACCTACCTGTTTGACACTCTTGGACCCAACTTCTGCAGCTACCTACTGGACACTCTTGTACCTGACTCCTAGACCTACATGTTGGACACTCTTGCACCTGACTCCTGGACCTACATGTTGGACAATCTTGGACCCAACTTCTGCAGCTACCTGCTGGACACTCTTGCACACGACTCCTGGACCTACATGTTGGACACTCCTGCACCTGACTCCTGGACCTACATGTTTGACACTCTTGGACCCAACTTCTGCAGCTACCTACTGGACACTCTTGTACCTCACCTACATGTTGGACACTCTTGCACCTGACTCCTGGACCTACATGTTGGAAAATCTTGGACCCAACTTCTGCAGCTACCTGCTGGACACTCTTGCACACGACTCCTGGACCTACCTGTTGGACAATCTTGCACCTGACTCCTGGACCTACATGTTGGACACTCTTGCACCTGACCTCTGGACCTACCTGTTGGACAATCTTGCACCTGACTCCTGGTCCTACCTGCTGGACACTCTTGGACCCGACTCCTGGACCTACATGTTGGACACTCTTGCACCTGAATTCTGGACCTACATGTTGGACAATCTTGCACCTGACTCCGGGACCTACCTGTTGGACAATCTTGCACCTGACTCCTGGACCTACATGTTTGACACTCTTGGACCCAACTTCTGCACCTACCTGCGAGAAACTCTTGCACCTGACTCCTGGACCTACCTGTTTGACACTCTTGGACCCAACTTCTGCAGCTACCTACTGGACACTCTTGTACCTGACTCCTAGACCTACATGTTGGACACTCTTGCACCTGACTCCTGGACCTACATGTTGGACAATCTTGGACCCAACTTCTGCAGCTACCTGCTGGACACTCTTGCACACGACTCCTGGACCTACATGTTGGACACTCCTGCACCTGACTCCTGGACCTACATGTTTGACACTCTTGGACCCAACTTCTGCAGCTACCTACTGGACACTCTTGTACCTCACCTACATGTTGGACACTCTTGCACCTGACTCCTGGACCTACATGTTGGAAAATCTTGGACCCAACTTCTGCAGCTACCTGCTGGACACTCTTGCACACGACTCCTGGACCTACCTGTTGGACAATCTTGCACCTGACTCCTGGACCTACATGTTGGACACTCTTGCACCTGACCTCTGGACCTACCTGTTGGACAATCTTGCACCTGACTCCTGGTCCTACCTGCTGGACACTCTTGGACCCGACTCCTGGACCTACATGTTGGACACTCTTGCACCTGAATTCTGGACCTACATGTTGGACAATCTTGCACCTGACTCCGGGACCTACCTGTTGGACAATCTTGCACCTGACTCCTGGACCTACCTGCTGGACACTCTTGGACCCGACTCCTGGACCTACATGTTGGACACTCTTGCACCTGACTCCTGGACCTATATGTTGGACAATCTTGCACCTGACTCCTGGTGCTACCTGCTGGACACTCTTGGACCCGACTCCTGGACCTACATGTTGGACACTCTTGCACCTGACTCCTGGACCTACATGTTGGACAATCTTGCACCTGACTCCTGGACCTACATGTTGGACACTCTTGCACCTGACCTCTGGACCTACCTGTTGGACAATCTTGCACCTGACTCCTGGTCCTACCTGCTGGACACTCTTGGACCCGACTCCTGGACCTACATGTTGGACACTCTTGCACCTGAATTCTGGACCTACATGTTGGACAATCTTGTACCTGACTCCGGGACCTACCTGTTGGACAATCTTGCACCTGACTCCTGGACCTACCTGCTGGACACTCTTGCACCTGACTCCTGGACCTACATGTTGGACAATCTTGCACCTGACTCCTGGTCCTACCTGCTGGACACTCTTGGACCCGACTCCTGGACCTACATGTTAGACACTCTTGCACCTGACTCCTGGACCTACATGTTGGACAATCTTGCACCTGACTCCGGGACCTACCTGTTGGACACTCTTGGACCCGACTCCTGGACCAACATATTGGACACTCTTGCACCTGACATCTGGACCTACGTGTTGGACAATCTTGCACCTGACTCCTGGACCTACATGTTGGACAATCTTGGACACGACTCCTGGACCTACATGTTGGACAATCTTGCACCTGACTCCTGGACCTACCTGCTTGACACTCTTGGACCCGACTCCTGAACCAACATACTGGACACTCTTGCACCTGACTTCTGGACCTACGTGTTGGACAATCTTGCACCTGACTCCTGGACCTACATGTTGGACAATCTTGGACACGACTCCTGGACCTACATGTTGGACAATCTTGCACCTGACTCCGGGACCTACCTGTTTGACACTCTTGGACCCGACTCCTGGACCTACATGTTGGACAATCTTGCACCTGACTCCGGGACCTACCTGTTTGACACTCTTGCACCTGAATCCAGGACCTACATGTTGGACAATCTTGCACCTGACTCCTGGACCTACCTGCTGGACACTCTTGGACCCGACTCCTGGACCTACATGCTGGACACTCTTGCACCTGACTTCTGGACCTACATGTTGGACAATCTTGGACCCAACTTCTGCACCTACCTGTTGGACACTCAGGTTGATGCAGTGCAGGGTGCTCTGAAGGCACTGGGAGACGGGGGGGGCAGACAGCAGGGGAGGACAGGCCTCCTCTTCCCCGTCTTCCTCCTCTGGACTTGAGGCTACATCTCCTCCTTCTCTCAGCAGGGAGCCGGTCACCTCGTCCTCCTCCTCTTCCTCCTGGAGAACCCTTATGTCTCTGCACCTGAAAGTCACCACACACTCAACTTACTACTCTAGGAACTGACCTACTTCCTCCTTTTAATCATTTAAATAAATAAATGCAGCCTTCATTAGACAGAACTTGGAGGACTGAACCATCTTTATCAGGGAGCAGGGCAGGTTCAGCCTATCACCTTTGAGACCAGTGAAGAAGACCGGTTCTAAATGGGGACACAGATCATGTAAATGTCACTTTACTTGTGTCTGCCGGCTGTTCGGACACATGGGCTGGACTGAGTGCTCTGTCCGACTCCGTCCCATGCCAGACTAGCTCCACACATCTCTACAGCAACCTGAGGATCGCTAGGCAACATGTGGACGCTGTCGACCTCCGGCAACAGGAAGAGACTCTGAGGACAGACAGAGGGCAGAGAGGTCCAACCAGATCAAAACAGGGGACCAAATGAACCAATGGAGGTAGGTATATTGCATAAACAAGTAGAACGTAAGGTTATGTTTAGAAACAGTGAGAGTTCAAGTTGCTTCCACCAGGCCCTCACACAAGACGCCAACATGCAAGACAAACAGACTTAAACTTAATTTGTCCCAGCTGCCGTTAGCATTTTAAATAAATCAATGTGATTGTATTTTATTGTTGGCTGTATTTTGTCCAACTTCGTGGCCGCTTTGTTTACACCTAGGATCAGCTGATTGCGCTGAAGCTGACCGGCATGGCGCAGAGGAGGAACGAAACGGTGAGGGAAGAGAGAGGGGTCCAGACAACAGAGACTTAGGAGAAGGATATTTAAGCTGTGTCTCCCCTCTGTCATCATGGGCAACGTGAGGTCACTGGCTAATAAGACGGACAAGCTAACAGCGTTAGCTCAATCGACGGCTTTCAGACTGTTCGGGCCGACAGGGAATGCACCCAGAGTGGTAAGTGTAAAGGCGGTGGGCTTGCCATTCTAGTTAACAACAGATGGTGTAATCCCGCTCACATTACGGTTAAACTGTGTATCTATAGCCCGGACACTGAACTGAACTCCGGCCATATTATCTGCCACGGGAGATTTCATGCCATCGCTGTTGCCGTTTACATTCCGCCCTCTTCCAACCCGACGTCAGTGTGTAACATCACCCACACCGCCATTGCTGAACTCCAGACTCAACACCCGAGTGCCCTCATAGTGATCTCGGTGACTTCAACCACGTCACCATGACCACCACACTTACTAACTTCACCCAGTATGTGAGCTGCCATACTAGAGAGGAGAGGACCCTGGACCTGCTGTATGCTAACGTTAAAGATGCATACAGCAGAACAACATGAGGGAGGTCTGGAGCGGCATGAGGAACATCACTGGCTTCAGACTGACTGGCAGCAGAGGAGCTGAAGGCAGCCTGGACAGGGCCACCAAACTTAATCTGTTCTTTAACAGGTTTGATACTATGACTCCTGCCCCCCCCCCCCCAACTCAGCTGCTGTCTGCCGTCAAACACCTCCAACCCCACTACCCCCCCTCCTCCTGCTCACTGTCCCCCACCCTCCTGTGAGACCCCAACCCCTCCTTCTCCGGCTCTCAGGTTAACAGCTCTCTCCCCCTCCCCCACCTGTGACCTCTGTGTGCCTCACTGCTGACCAGGTGAGAAGACAGATGAGGAGACTCCACTCCAACAAGGCTGTAGGCCCTGATGGTGTCCGTCCCGGGGTGCTCAAAGCCTGTGCCCCCCAGCTATGGAGTCCTTCACCATGTCCTAAGCCTGAGTCTCTGTAGGATCCCTGTGCTGTGGAAGACATCTTGCCTCCTTCCTGTACCAAAGACGCCACGTCCTAGTGGCTCTAAGGACTACAGACCTGTGGCACTGACCTCCCACATTATGAAGACCCTGGAGAGTCTGGTTCTGGATCAGCTGCGGCCCATGGTCAGACCTCTCCTGGACCCCTTCCAGTTCGCCTACCAGCCCCGACTAGGAGTTGAGGACGCCATCATCTTCCTGCCCACCTGGACAAGCCGGCGAGCACTGTGAGGGTCATGTTTTATGACTTCTCCAGTGCTTTCAACACCATCCGGCCGGCCCTGCTGGATGAGAAGCTGACAGTGAAGCAGGTGGATGCCCCCCTCGTGTCCTGGATTGTTGGCTACTTGACTTGCAGACCACAGTATGTACGCCTGCAACACTGTGTGTCACACAGCGTGGTCAGCAACACCGGGGCCACGCAGGGGTCCTCTCTCCCTTCCTCTTCACCATCTACACCACGGACTTTTGAGTCCTGCCATCTTCAGAAGTTTTCTGATGACTCTGCTGTGGTTTGATGTATCAGCGGGGTGACGAGGCTGTGGTGGGGGACTTTGTCACAGAGCAGAACCATCTGCAGCTCAACGTGACAAAGACTAAAGAGCTGGTTGTGGATGTAAGGAGAGCAAAGGCACCAGTTTCCATCCAGGGGGTCCCTGTGGACATTGTGGAGGATTACAAATACCTGGGAGTGCACATGAACAATAAACTGGACTGGGCCAAGAACACTCAAGCCCTCTACAGGAAGGACCTAAGGACCTCCTAACTTCCGGTTTAGCCCTCCGCTAACGTGAATGGGGGTAAAATTGTAAACGTGCGGCTGGTTTAGCCTTTTCAAATGTTACCAACCGAATGGATCACATCCTGATAGTGAAACAAGTCATTTCACTTGGGTTGTGACGGTCAAATATATTGATCCGCTGGTTTGGCCGCTAGTAAAAGTTACTTCAAAGAACGGGGCATTTCCCGTTGGAGAAATTGCGAGGCTATCCAGCTGACCAATCACAGTTCTTATGGTCGGCGTCACCTCGACGTGTAGTTATATTTTTGAGGAGATGCACGTAGGGCTACGCCGTAGGTGACAAAGTAGGGTAGAGGGCTACGCAGAGGCTACGCCGTCGATTTGACACAGAAGTATAAATTGCACGTAAGTGTCTCCCACACGGACACTTAGTTTTAAACTGGACATTATTATCTGTTTTGTGAAATAACACCTGCTTAATTAATTAACTGCTTAATGTGCAATACTCTCTGCTGCAATTCAGCTGCTACTATTTATTCATTATTACTGTTCACCATAACAATTCCTTTTACTATGTAAATATTGTACATATCCATACTCCTTTATATTTTATTTTATTTTATATTTTTACTCTGATATTTATATTTTTTATATACCACTATCCTTATTTATTTTCCTTTTGCCTTTTGTGCAATGTGTGCAACTGTGATACAGAATTTCCGCTCGGGGATCAATAAAGATATCCTTGATCCTTGGGGTAGTGACAGACCTTGAATCTCTCCGTGGCCACTGAAGCTTCGGACAGAGACTTGACAGAGAACGGCGTGACCTTCAGGGCAAAAGTCATGGCATTAAACACCGTCACCACGGTGAAGGCCTGCAGAGACAGACAGACAACATCAATGCTAAAATATGTCGACATACAGTTAGCTGCAGCCTGCTACAATGCTAACAGGTAAAGAGAAAGAATTGTAACAAGGCTACCCCAAGAAACAACCTCCGGCTCTCACTACAGAAGCCAATGTTGAAGCACCTTAAACCTGCGTTCTCTCTAGCAGCCAGCAGGGCGCTAGTTTCAAGTCTTCTTCAACACAGCATGATGTTCATTTAGTAAATTATGGTCCCGTTTAGAGGAACAGAGACCAGGAAGCAGGGGAGGCTTTAGGGCGGGGCTATATTGCTAACAGCTATGGAGCCAGTTTAGCCAACAGGGGCTGAGCAGTAAAGACATGATCAGAGAAACTTCACAGCGCTAACTAACAGGTAGTTTTGTACCTGAGCTGCCGTCAGGTCGTATCCTAGCAACATGTGGACAGAGAATGTTGCCACGCTGGCGATGACAACAACTATGGGAGCCACGCCCACAGTGATGCTCTGGAAGTAACCTGTGAGCTCCAGGATCCTGCGCTCCTCGTCACGGATTCCTGAGAGAAAACACAGTCAACATCACTGTTACTGTGGCGACAGGCCGGCCAGGTGAGCGTGTGCAGGCGAGTACGTACTGCGGATGTCCTGGGCGAAGGCTTTGACCCAGGCGTACATCTTGATGAACTTGATGTAGTTGAGGATCTCGTTCATCTTCTGCACTCGTCTGTCCGTGATGGCCACGCCCTTCCTCCTAAAGTACGCCGTCAGTCTGGAGCTGAACATCTGATCAGAGAATAACGATCAATAAACCTGATCAGGTGGGAGAATACTTATCTACAGGTAGATCGTTTAATCACAGAGGTATACGGTTTCAGAAACAGTACGGTGTAACAAAGAGACGGTCATTTCAGAATGGGAACATTTTGAATCCGCTCCACACCGGACTCCCTGTAAAAAATACTGTTTTAAAAGCACAAACATCAAATGTTTCAGACCTGAATGCATGATGAGACTCTGAGCTACATATCTGAGACTATGGAACCAGCAAGTATAGAACATAAAGGAGGAAGGTGGTACAGGTACAACACAGTTCACCAAAGTAGGAAGAGGAGGAGGAGGAGCGCAGTTACTGACCATGGTGGGGTAGAAGAGGATGAAGACAGCTGATCCCAGCAGGGACGTCGGGCCCAGTATGAACAAGTTGTAGGCAACACCGAGCACGGCCACCAGGGGGCCCCCTGCTAACAGACTACCTACTGCTGCTGCATCAAACATCCGCTGACCGTCACTGGAGCACATATTGACCAGCTGGGGTGGAGACGGAGGAGGACAAGAGGTTGGACATCGGCACCATCAGACAGAACAAAAAGAAGGAACCAGAACCAGCACATATAGAAGCAGAACCTGTCCCATGGACTTGTCCCGGACGCTGCGGAGCTTCAGGATCTTGTGGAAGGCCAGACTGAGGACGGCTCCTCTCAGTCTGGATCCGGTCCTGTAGTTCAGGGCCCAGGTCAAAGCCAGAGACCAGGACCGAACCAGCTCCGTGGTCAGGAGACCCAGAACCAGCAGCAGCCCGTAGCCCAGGTCCGAGTCCTCCTGCTGGGTGTACTCCAGCAGGCGCTTCACCACAAACGCCTGGAGAGGGGGGGGACAAAATTATTATCATAATACTGGTCTTACTGGTACTTTAAGAGGTTTAATACACATAAAGAGCTTCTATAAAAACCAGAACAGGCATCTAATCGAGACGTCTATCTGTTGCAATGTCTTCCCACACCAGGCCAGTCAACGGGACAGCGTCTCACTGGGTCTCAGCTAGTAACTGAAGGTTTACTGTAGTCTTCATACTGGTCTGACTGGTTCTGACTCACCGGACCACTGAATCCTGCCAGCTGTGTGACGGTTAGACAGAGGATGGACAGCAGGAGCCGGGTCCGACAGAAAGACCAGACCACCGAACACAAAGACGCATCGCTGCCCTTTGACCTCAGCTCGTCCTCCCACAGAGACGCCAACCTGAGGACACGCACACACAACAAAGAAAGACATCAGTGACAAATAAAACACTTTAAATGAAACGTTCATCATCTTTAAATCATTTCCTGCCTTAAATCTAAAAACCAGACGGCAGGTCAGAACACCTTCCTGTCGTTGGCTTTATTTTGAAATTATTGCTGATCACACTGGACAGCTGTATCCTGTTTGGTGGTGTCTGAAAGTACGAAGCTCGTATCGATCGTTTTCTTTATGTCACATGAAAGCAGCATCATGGGCGAGCATGATGGATTCTGGGACATGTAGGCAGTAAATCCTCAGCTTCTACGCAGCTCAGGCGTTTTTACTTGTCACACAGATTCATTATTAGCTCCTCCCACCTCAGGCTGTTGGCATGACAACACTCCCGCTGTGACACGGGCCAGATGTCGTCCAATAGGAGGCGTCCTTTCCTGCGGGCATGCATGGCCAGAGGAGTCATCCAATGAAACGTCATGAAGGAGAAAAGACCTGCGCTGTCCACCGGATGGTCAAACCTGAGGGGACACAGACACACCTGAGGACACAAACTCACCTGAGGGGACACAGACACACCTGAGGACACAAACACACCTGAGGACACACAAACACACCAGAGGATACAAACACACCTGAAGACAAAAACACACCTGAGGACACAAACACACCTGAGGGGACACAAACACACCTGAGGATACAAACACACCTGAGGATACAAACACACCTGAGGACACAAACACACCTGAGGGGACACAAACACACCTGAGGATACAAACACACCTGAGGACACAAACACACCTGAGGACACAAACACACCTGAGGGGACACACACACACCTGAGGACACAAACACACCTGAGGATACAAACACACCTGAGGACACACACACACCTGAGGGGACACAAACACACCTGAGGGGACACAAACACATCTGAGGGGACACAAACACACCTGAGGACACAAACACACCTGAGGACACAAACACACCTGAGGGGACACACACACACCTGAGGACACAAACACACCTGAGGGGACACAAACACACCTGAGGACACACACACACACATAAGGACACAAACACACCTGAGGGGACACAAACACACCTGAGGATACAAACACACCTGAGGACACAAACACACCTGAGGGGACACAAACACACCTGAGGGGACACAAACACACCTGAGGGGACACAAACACACCTGAGGACACAAACACCTGAGGGGACACAAACACACCTGAGGATACAAACACACCCGAGGATACAAACACACCTGAGGGGACACAAACACACCTGAGGATACAAACACACCTGAGGACACAAACACACCTGAGGACACACACAAACCTGAGGGGACACAAACACATCTGAGGGGACACAAACACACCTGAGGACACAAACACACCTGAGGACACAAACACACCTGAGGGGACACAAACACACATGAGGACACAAACACATCTGAGGGGACACAAACACACCTGAGGACACAAACACACCTGAGGACACAAACACACCTGAGGGGACACAAACACACATGAGGGGATACAAACACACCAGAGGATACAAACACACCTGAGGACACACACACACATAAGGACACAAACACACCTGAGGGGACACAAACACATCTGAGGGGACACAAACACACCTGAGGACACAAACACACCTGAGGGGACACAAACACACATGAGGGGATACAAACACACCAGAGGATACAAACACACCTGAGGACACACACCCACATAAGGACACAAACACACTTGAGGGGACACAAACACACCTGAGGACACAAACACACCTGAGGGGAAAAACACACATGAGGACACAAACACACCTGAGGGGAAAAACACATCAGAGGACACAAACATACCTGAATGGAAAAACACACCTGAGGACACAAACATACCTGAGGATACAAACACACCTGAGGACACAAACACACCTGAGGACACACACACACATGAGGACACAAACACACCTGAGGGGACACAAACACACCAGAGGGGACACAAACACACCTGAGGGGACACAAACACACCTGAGGACACAAACACATCTGAGGGGACACAAACACACCTGAGGACACAAACACACCTGAGGGGACACAAACACACATGAGGGGATACAAACACACCTGAGGGGACACAAACACACCTGAGGGGACACAAACACACCTGAGGATACAAACACACCTGAGGACACAAACACACCTGAGGGGACACAAACACACCTGAGGGGACACAAACACATCTGAGGGGACACAAACACACCTGAGGACACAAACACACCTGAGGGGACACAAACACACCTGAGGACACAAACACACCTGAGGATACAAACACACCTGAGGGGACACAAACACACCTGAGGATACAAACACACCTGAGGACACACACACACATAAGGACACAAACACACCTGAGGGGACACAAACACATCTGAGGGGACACAAACACACCTGAGGACACAAACACACCTGAGGGGACACAAACACACCTGAGGGGACACAAACACATCTGAGGGGACACAAACACACCTGAGGACACAAACACACCTGAGGGGACACAAACACACCTGAGGATACAAACACACCTGAGGACACAAACACACCTGAGGGGACACAAACACACCTGAGGATACAAACACACCTGAGGACACACACCCACATAAGGACACAAACACACCTGAGGGGACACAAACACACCTGAGGGGACACAAACACACCTGAGGACACAAACACACCTGAGGGGACACAAACACACATGAGGGGATACAAACACACCAGAGGATACAAACACACCTGAGGACACACACCCACATAAGGACACAAACACACTTGAGGGGACACAAACACACCTGAGGACACAAACACACCTGAGGGGAAAAACACACATGAGGACACAAACACACCTGAGGGGAAAAACACATCAGAGGACACAAACATACCTGAATGGAAAAACACACCTGAGGACACAAACACACCTGAGGGGACACAAACACAGCTGAGGATACAAACACACCTGAGGATACAAACACACCTGAGGGGACACAAACACACCTGAGGATACAAACACACCTGAGGACACAAACACACCTGAGGACACACACACCTGAGGGGACACAAACACATCTGAGGGGACACAAACACACCTGAGGACACAAACACACCTGAGGACACAAACACACCTGAGGGGACACAAACACATGAGGACACAAACACATCTGAGGGGACACAAACACACCTGAGGACACAAACACACCTGAGGACACAAACACACCTGAGGGGACACAAACACACATGAGGGGATACAAACACACCAGAGGATACAAACACACCTGAGGACACACACACATAAGGACACAAACACACCTGAGGGGACACAAACACATCTGAGGGGACACAAACACACCTGAGGACACAAACACACCTGAGGGGACACAAACACACATGAGGGGATACAAACACACCAGAGGATACAAACACACCTGAGGACACACACCCACATAAGGACACAAACACACTTGAGGGGACACAAACACACCTGAGGACACAAACACACCTGAGGGGAAAAACACACATGAGGACACAAACACACCTGAGGGGAAAAACACATCAGAGGACACAAACATACCTGAATGGAAAACACACCTGAGGACACAAACATACCTGAGGATACAAACACACCTGAGGACACAAACACACCTGAGGACACACACACACATGAGGACACAAACACACCTGAGGGGACACAAACACACCAGAGGGGACACAAACACACCTGAGGACACAAACACATCTGAGGGGACACAAACACCTGAGGACACAAACACACCTGAGGGGACACAAACACACATGAGGGGATACAAACACACCTGAGGACACAAACACACCTGAGGGGACACAAACACACCTGAGGGGACACAAACACACCTGAGGATACAAACACACCTGAGGGGACACAAACACACCTGAGGGGACACAAACACACCTGAGGGGACACACACACCTGAGGGGACACAAACACATCTGAGGGGACACAAACACACCTGAGGACACAAACACACCTGAGGACACAAACACACCTGAGGGGACACAAACACACATGAGGACACAAACACATCTGAGGGGACACAAACACACCTGAGGACACAAACACACCTGAGGACACAAACACACCTGAGGGGACACAAACACACATGAGGGGATACAAACACACCAGAGGATACAAACACACCTGAGGACACACACACACATAAGGACACAAACACACCTGAGGGGACACAAACACATCTGAGGGGACACAAACACACCTGAGGACACAAACACACCTGAGGGGACACAAACACACATGAGGGGATACAAACACACCAGAGGATACAAACACACCTGAGGACACACACCCACATAAGGACACAAACACACTTGAGGGGACACAAACACACCTGAGGACACAAACACACCTGAGGGGAAAAACACACATGAGGACACAAACACACCTGAGGGGAAAAACACATCAGAGGACACAAACATACCTGAATGGAAAAACACACCTGAGGACACAAACATACCTGAGGATACAAACACACCTGAGGACACAAACACACCTGAGGACACACACACATGAGGACACAAACACACCTGAGGGGACACAAACACACCTGAGGGGACACAAACACACCTGAGGGGACACAAACACACCTGAGGACACAAACACACCTGAGGGGACACAAACACACCTGAGGACACAAACACACCTGAGGGGACACAAACACACCTGAGGGGACACAAACACACCAGAGGATACAAACACACCTGAGGGGACACAAACACACCTGAGGGACACAAACACACCTGAGGGGACACAAACACACCTGAGGGGACACAAACACACATGAGGACACAAACACACCTGAGGGGAAAAACACATCAGAGGACACATACACACCTGAGGACACAAACACACCTGAATGGAAAAACACACCTGAGGACACAAACACACCTGAATGGAAAAACACACCTGAGGACACAAACACACCTGAGGACACAAACTCACCTGAGGACACAAACACACCTGAGGACACAAACACACCTGAATGGAAAAACACACCTGAGGACACAAACACACCTGAGGGGACACAAACACACCTGAGGACACAAACATACCTGAGGACACAAACACACATGAGGACACAAACACACCTGAGGATACAAACACACCTGAGGACACAAACACACATGAGGACACAAACACACCTGAGGATACAAACACACCTGAGGACACAAACACACCTGAGGACACAAACACACCAGAGGATACAAACACACCTGAGGACACACACACACATGAGGACACACACACACCTGAGGGACACAAACACACCAGAGGGGACACAAACCCACCTGAGGACACAAACACACCTGAGGGGACACAAACACACCTGAGGGGATACAAACACACCAGAGGATCCAAACACACCTGAGGGGACACAAACACACCTGAGTGGACACAAACACACCTGAGAACACAAACACACCTGAGGACACAAACACATCTGAGGACACAAACACACCTGAGGACACAAACACACCTGAGGACACAAACACACCTGAGGGGAAAACACACCTGAGGGGAAAACACACCTGAGGGGACACAAACACACCTGAGGACACAAACAAACAAACCTGAGGACACAAACAAACAAACCTGAGGATACAAACACACGTGAGGACACAAACACAACTGAGGACACAAACACACATGAGGACACAAACACACCTGAGGATACAAACACACCTGAGGGGAAAACACACCTGAGGACACAAACACACCTGAGGGGAAAACACACCTGAGGACACAAACATACCTGAATGGAAAAACACACCAGAGGACACAAACACACCTGAGGGGAAAAACACACCAGAGGATACAAACACAACTGAGCTGTGTGTCTTTGGTGTGTGCGTGTTACCTGTCCTTCTCTCCACCTGCTGTGTTCTGGTCTGTGTCTTTAGCTTCGCCCTCCTCCAGCTCTTCTCCATGGTAACCAGCTGATCCATCCTCACACAAACCCAACACACCCTGAGCGCACACACACAAAGAAAACATTGTTCATGGTCCTGTACAAATATTTGGACGTATTTCACAAAGCTTGTATAAAAACTAAAATTCAGCAGCCCAGTCAGCTTTAATCTGAAACTCACCGTCTGTTTCCTGTTTCAGCTTTAATTTGAAAGTCTGTTTCCTGTTTAAGTTTTAATTTGAAAGTCTGTTTCCTGTTTAAGTTTTAATTTGAAAGTCTGTTTCCTGTTTCAGTTTTAATCTGAACAGTTGAAGCTGTCGGTTAAATTTATGTAAAGTATGAAGCAGCTTCAAATGGAAATACTCAAAGTACCTCAAACATGTACTACAGTACTTGAGTAAATGTATTTAGTTAGCCAATCAGAGAGCAGCATTTATCTGTCTCAGTTGTATAATGATTACATTAACTCAGTCCTCTGTGTGTGCGTGTCACAGCCTCCTCTCTGAGCGCGCTCAGCTCACCCGAGCAGATGAGCTGCTACTGAGCACGTGCAGGACTCACGTTTGCTGCCTCATGATGCTCACACACATCCCATTCATTCAAACGGCCTCGGCCAATCAGAAGCCTCGCAGCCCCGGGGAGACTCAGCCAATCAGACGGCTGGATTCCCCTCAGCATCAGCTGGGCAGCAGCAGGAGGCGGGGCTTCATGTAAACAAAGAGGGGATGTAAGAGAGAAGCTTCATGGTTGTTTTGATGTAAAAGGAGCTTCACCCTCTCCTTCAGCTGCTCTTCCTGTGTCACTGTTGTATTGATTAGGACTGATCAGCTGGGAGGGGGGGGGGCAGATGCGTCTGGACTCACGTCGAGTCTGAACGTTTTCTCGCAGCAGAACACGTTTTGTGTTTCTGCTGTTTCACTGAGAAGCTCACAGATCACACCTGCTGCTTGATCTGTGTGATCATCAGATCACACCTGCTGTGATCATACGGTGATCACACCTGACACCCCCCGCCCACCTGGACCTGCTGCAGGGTGACCTCTGACACCCCCCGCCCACCTGGACCTGCTGCAGGGTGACCTCTGACACCCCCTCCTCACCTGGACCTGCTGCAGGGTGACCTCTGACCCCGGCAGAGCACCGTGGGGCGGCTGTCGAGACGCCGACTCGCTCTGTCCACAGTCATGTTCTCTCATCGTCTATCAGACCACATGGAGCTGTGACCTCTGACCCCGACACTCACACAGGAAGCTCCTGAGACTCTGCAGACATCACCGTGAAGTATAAATACATGAAGAACACAGTTCAGACAGCTCCACAGCACTGAACAAACTGACAGTGGAAATACTACACAGAAATACTGCAAGTAAAGAATACTGCAGTTGTACAGATGGATTATTACAGCAGTATCATCACATCTCTGTGCAGTAAACTACAGAGTACATTTCAGGAGAAAATACTCAACAATAAACCAAACTCACACTTTCAATACTAAAAGAAATCTGTAACTTAATGAATACCTTTAAATACAGTCGCAGGAAAAAGTACGTGATCCTTTTGGAAGTACTTAATATCTGATCTTCACCTAACAGACAAACACAGTCTGCTTAATCTAATCCCACAAACAGTTATATGTTTCATGTAAACAGTCACGGAGCAGCGTTGAAACAGGATGTGAACCCCTGATGACTTCTCCAAAAGCTACTTGGAGTCAGGAGGAGAGATGATTGGAGGTGTTGGTTAGCGCTGCCCTGCCCTAAAAAAAAAAATACACACACCAATTTAAATTTAGCTTTTCTCATGAAGCATTGCCTGATATGAACCTCGCCTTGAACAAAAGAGCTCTCAGAAGACCTCAGATAAAGATTTGTTGACTTGCATGAAGCTGGAAAGGGTTACAGAAGTATCTCAAGAAGTATTAATGTCCAGAGTGAGAAAAACTGTCTGTAAATGGAGAAAGTTCAGCACTGTTGCTGCTCTCTCTAGGACTGGCCGTCCTGCAGAGACGACTGCACGAGCACAGAGCAGAATGCTCAGTGAGGTTAAGAAGGATCCGAGTGTGTCAGCTGAAGACTCACAGAAATCTCTGCAACAGGCTAACATCTCTGTTGATGACTCTACGATACGTCAAACACTAAACAAGAATGGAGTTCATGGGAGGACGGTACAGAGGAAGCCTCTGCTGTCCAAAAAACCACTGCTGCACGTCTGAAGTTTGCCAAAGAGCGCCTGGATGTTTCGCAGCAGTACTGGCTAAATATTCTGTGGACAGATGAAACCAAAGTTGAGTTGTTTGGAAGGAACACACAACCCTATGTGTGGAGGAAAAAGAGTCCCAGCACAGCAACATGAAAATCTCATCCCAGCTGTGAGGTATGGTGGAGGGGGCATCATGGTTTAGGGACTGCTTCGCTGCCTCAGGGCCTGGAAGGGTCGCTATCATCCAGTGTTACTTTTGTCAGACGAAACTAAAAATATATTTGTCAACGACCTTTTTTTCCCGTGACTAAATCGAGACGGCGACAATGTCCTTAAACGCTGACTGTGACTATATTAACACGCAATATTGTTTACAAAAAATGACAATACTAAAGTGCAATTCATAAAATAAAAACGTTAATAAAATCTCTTTCTTTATGTCGGTATAATGAGATGTTATGGAATATTACAGGCCGTATTTTCTCCCTCTAAATTTTCACTTGAACAGTTTGTTCATTCAGAGGTGTTTTTTTCTCCCTGATCTTTAACTGCTGGGCGATGGGGCGGCGCCTGGTGCGCGAGGAAAATGTTACTGTGGACGATGCGTATGGCGTTTATTTTTAGTCATAAGTTGTGAGCGTGTAAAACACGATTCTAAGTGCAGCTAGCTAAACTGAGCAAAACTTCACTGGCTAAGTTACCATTAAGTTAATGTTACTCCCTGTCAGATTGCCGACATCTACTTTAAAAGTCAAGTTATGAGTGTACGTTGATTCGTTGGCATTCAAAGTTTATCTTCGGTTATTTGAATTATAGTAGAAGTTAGCAGCACTTAGTGGCTGCCGTAGTAGTAACGTAACTTTACTATGAACGGTACCGTTAGCAATGTGAAATAGATAACATGTTAAGCTTGTATCTAGCAAGGTTGTTCCTTGGTTAACATTAATTCAGTCATTAACGTTACACACATTGTTTGTTGGACAGTGCATCGGCTGATAAGATCAGCAGCACAAAAAGTAAGTAACGTTATAACTGCAGCAGATAACGACTTCATATGTTTTTCTGTTGAAGAGGCTGACATATGAAACCATCGGAGACTGACTTTAATGAGTGAGCTGTTATCCACAAAGGATCCAAATATCAACGAGGTACGTCCCTGTCAGAAACAGCTCTCTGTGTTGAATCAGTGCCTCTGAACAGAAGATGAATATTTTAACCTTCATGAAGGTAGGATTATCGCAGGACTGCATTATTTTTAGCTCGTTGTACCTAATAAACTGGCAGCTGGATCTGCTTATAGGCCTCATAGAAACGTGCCAAACTTGTATATTTAAGAGTAAGTTAGTGGAGTGCAATGTCCAGCCAACAATAACCAGGACAAACTTTCTTCCACATTGATGCAAATATGAATATAGTGACATGAAACATACAAATAATTTGAGCTACGGAGGCATTTCCACATCCTTTCAGCTGTTACTGTGTTGAATGCTCTTAGTGGCCTTAACAGGTGCACCTTTACAATGTAATGCAGTTCAATAAAACAGCTGTGCCATTATTTAATTAAATTTACACATATGAGCAAAAATGTGTAAATTTAATTAAATGTTTAATACTGAGGTTAAAATTAAAGGGTGTTTTACTGAACTACATTGTGTTGGATATGAGGACTTTTTTCTCCTCCCTATTTACATAATGCACATTACAGGGCCAGAATATCAGAAACTCCTCTAAATATAATGCAGCTCAGTACAACACCATCATCACTAAGTATGACCTCAGTGATAAAACATGTAAGTGAATTAACACTTCTATGTATGTCTGTGTAAATAAATCCTGAACAGTACAGGCATCATAAAAGCAGAATTCATGGCTGAGCTGGTGTATTTATTACATTAGATTGTATAGGTGTACCTAATAAAGTGACCACTGCAGACACAAGTCAAGGTTTTCCCTGTTGCTCCTCTGGGATGTGTGGTTGAGTGTGGTCACCCCATAGACTGTATGGGTCACCGTACGCACTGGGCTAGCCTGCCACCTAAAATACAACAAATCTCAACAGTGATGACCAACAACCAACCCTCTTCTGGTATTTAATATTTGGTCATTAAATTCAAAGAATTTGAAACAAAGTAGTAGTACTAAATATGACCATTTTATTAAGGTGTAAAGGAACTTGTCTTACAAATTGTAGTCCACTAAAATACCGTGGAAAAAAAGGTTATAGTTGCATAATATCAAATTCTTTACTGGGGCACAGAACCAAATAACCGAAATCATGCCAATGTCCTGATACAACTGGACCTAACTGTGTACTCTCACTCCTGTAATCTCAAACTCATGAAATTATTTGGAAAACATTGGCTTTCCATGTATATTGTAATTATAATTTATATTATAATATTAAAATCAATGTCTTAAATGTATTAACCTTGTATTAACATGTATTAACACTGTTTCATCTTTCTTCTCCCTGTTCTTTCCAGCAGCACCAGGCTCCTGGTCTCATCTGGGGCCTATGACCTGGTCTGCTTCTGACAGTGGACTGTCCTCAACAAAAACAACCTCACTGACCCTCTCCCTGTAGATAATATATAATAAAGTATTTTGTTGAATGCAATTGGTTGCCTTATATATTTTGCACTACTGACCAAACGTCTCTCTCGACTTAAACTGAGCAGCTTCAGTTATTTATTAATATTCACTTGTTGGGGATGTTTATGTGAATGTGTCTTAACACAACAGTACATTAGGACATGTGATATACAGTAGACTAATTACAGTGGGGGAAATAAGTATTTGACCCCTTGCTGATTTTGCAGGTTTGCCCAATTACAAAGAATGCAACGATCTATAATTTTAATCATATGTACATTCTAACAGTGAAAGACAGAATCCCAAAGAAAATTCCAGAAAATCACATCATATGAATTTATAAAAATTGATAACCATCTGATGAGGAAAAACAAGTATTTGACCCCCTGGACAAACAGCATGTTAATATTTTGTAGAAAAGCCATTATTGGCCAGCACAGATGTCAAACGGTTTTTATAGTTGGTGACAAGGTTTGTGCACATTTCGGCAGGGATGTTGGCCCACTCCTCCCTGCAGACAGCCTCCAAATCATTCAGGTTCCGAGGTTGTCGCCTGGCAACTCGAATTTTAAGCTCCCTCCAAAGATTTTCAATTGGATTCAGGTCTGGAGACTGGCTAGGCCACTCCAGAACCTTGATGTGCTTCTTCAGCCACTCTTTTGTTGCTTTGGCGGTGTGCTTAGGGTCGTTGTCATGCTGAAACACCCATCCTCGACCCATCTTCAGCTCTCTCACTGAGGGAAGGAGATGTTGGTCCAGAATTCCACGATACATGGCCCCGTCCATCCTCCCCTCAATACGATGGAGTTGTCCCGTCCCCTTGGCTGAAAAGCACCCCCAAAGCATGATGTTGCCACCACCATGCTTGACAGTGGGGATGGTGTTCTTTGGGTTGTACTCGGTGTTCTTTGCCCTCCAAACACAACGAGTTGCGTTGAGGCCAAAAAGTTCTATTTTGGTCTCATCTGACCACATCACCTTCTTCCAGGCCTCTTCTGAGTCGTCCAGGTGGTGAATGGCGAACTTCATGCGGGCCTGTACATGTTTCTTCTTGAGCAGGGGGACCTTGCGTGCGCTGCAGGATTTCAATCCATGACGGCGTAGTGTGTTACCAACCGTTTCTTTTGTAACTGTGGTCCCAGCTGCCTTCAGTTGATTCATCAGTTCCCCCCTTGTGGTTTTGGGATGATTCCTCACCGTTCGCATGATCAGGGACACCCCACGAGGCGTGATCTTGTGTGGAGGCCCAGACCGAGGGAAGTTGGCGGTGGTGTGGTGCTTCTTCCGTTTCCTGATAACTGCACCGACAGTTGATCTTTTCTCTCCAAGTTGCTTTCCGATTCTCTTGTAGCCCATCCCAGCCTTGTGCAGATCAACAATCTTGTCCCTGATGTCCGTAGAAAGCTCTTTGGTCTTGCCCATGGTGCTGATGTTGGATGCTGGTTGTTTGGGTGTTGACAGGTGTCTTTTATACAGGTAACGAGGTGAGGCGGGTGTATTTGATGTAGATAATTGGTTGGGATTGGGGCTGTGTCTTAAAGAAAGACTAACTGGCTTGTAGGAGCCAGAATACTTGCTGTTTGGTAGGGGGTCATATACTTGTTTTTCCTCATCAGATGGTTATCAATTTTTATAAATTCATATGATGTGATTTTCTGGAATTTTCTTTGGGATTCTGTCTTTCACTGTTAGAATGTACATATGATTAAAATTGTATATTATTGCATTCTTTGTAAGTGGGCAAACCTGCAAAATCAGCAAGGGGTCAAATACTTATTTCCCCCACTGTATATATATTCTGCATATGCAGCACATTCTATGCATGTATTTGTGTTCTGAGGTATAGTTTAGCCTGTGTTTCGGGAAGGATAAAGGGGTAACGTTACAATAGCTATTTTAAAATAAATTACAAAGCAGTAATTATATGGATTGTATTTAGGAACAGTAATTCACTCAGTAGCCTAACCGTCTCTGCAGTTGCATTTCAACAGATAACACTGTTAATGCTGTCTCTCCGTCCTTCCAAAGAAAAAAATCACTACTGTAAGTACAGTTACCGCAGGAATCAATGCACATTATACGAAAAGTGCTGCAAATATAGTCTGCTGTCACTCCTCTTCCCTCCAAAATTAACACCAAACGGATAATAATGCTTTCCCGACTCCGCAGAAGAAATGGTAGGCTATAATATTTAAGTATAAGGATAGTAATCAAAACACATTATGTCTTAATATTTATCCAAAAACTGCTGCAAATATAGTCGCTGCTGGTGTCTGTCCCACCTGAAAGTGGTTGACAGCACAGACTACTGAGAGCCGCCGCATGGAGCACGTGACTGCGTGGCGGTGAGATCAAAGAGTGTCGGTAACTCTCTTATTTAAGGGCTCTGGTTGTGATCACGTTGAAAGTGACCAATCATAAGAGGGTCAGCGCCCTCCTTGGTTTCCGACAACCCAAATTGTCAAAAGTCGTGTAGACTCGAGCGAGCAGAGTTATCCTTTGAGAGCAAACCAGGCGCTCCTAATTTGCTCGTGAGGAAGTTTTACACGCTCACAACTTATGACTAAAAATAAACGCCATATTTGCTCGGGAGAAAGAGGCGCTCAGATATTTGGTCCCATTTCAAACACAGTGAGGCGGATTTTATCAGACGGCAATTTCGTTTCAAGATTTTTTAGAAAAAACACTACAAACTTGAAGCGACATATCAAGGCTGACCAGCGGGACCTGAGGCGAGTTAACGTCTCCTTTGCAATAAAAATGAGAACAAAACTAACATTCAAATTTTACAAAACAATTTATCTGTATGTGAGATGAGTGAAATAAAGACTAAAATGATAAATATCTCTATTTTGGTTCAAGCAGATCGACCAAAATGCTGATAATGAGTTAGAAAAGACTAAAATGATGGTTAATGTCGAAAACTAGACTAAAATACTTTTGATTTTCTTTTGACTCAAATACTCAGACTTTTTTTAGTCAACTTTAAAAATAGTTTGCAGTGGACTAAATATGACAAAAACTTACGAGGATATTTGATCCAGGAGTTGTTGCTGCTAAATAAGGGTAAAGTGCTTCTTAAATCCAGGATTCACTTCCTGTTCCAGCTGCGACTGTTCTGGAAAAACAGGAAAATCTGCAACTGTCTGAATGAAACATCACTTAAATATTAGAAGAGTACAGGAGTACTGTGAAAGTACTTAACTGTAGACTGGAATACTACTATGGACACATAATCAAAACTCTAATCATCCAACCACACTACAGGAAGGAGTACTCAAGAGTACTGCAAAGAAATACTATGGAGGAGCTCCGTGAAGTCATTATGACACACAACAGTACTATTTCAAGAAAATATTTCCACAGCAGTATTTCACTACACATTGTACTTGTATGACAACGTATGTGACAAAGATTTGAAATACTGCGACTACAGAAATACTACAATATTCCTTTAAGACTGTAATTTTACTACAAAGAGTCGGAGATGTACACAGTGACATCATAGAAGTATTACAGTACTCCATGAAGGCCACAGTGAATATAAATACTGTAGGAATATTACAGGAACATAGTGATCCTTTAAAAATACTAGACACAGTATTATTAAAATACTTTTAAAAACTACAGTAATGTCTCAATAAACTAAACAGTAATACTATGATGTACTACAGTGATAATACTATGAAGTACTAAGAATGTAACAGCAACACTGCAAGTACAAGTACTATAGAAATACTGGGCTGTGTATAAAGTACTATGAGTGTATAAAAACCTCATTCAATCCTCCAGAATAAAAGACTGATTCTGAATCCTCCAGAATAAAAGCACGCGATACTGCCGTCGTTACGAAACAAAGTGTCCTCGCGCTCCGACCATCAGACAGGAAGTGAGTCCGGATCAAAGCCGAGAGGCAGCTGGTCGAGTCGCTCACCTGTCCGTCCGCGGTCTCACCTGTCTGTCTGCGTGTCCGCGCGCTCAGGACACGCTCTCCGTCCTGCCTGTCCTCCTTCAGGTCCGCTGGTCTCTGTAAACAGCTCGTGCAGCCGCGACTCACAGCAGCCGCGCGGGGGATCACGGGAAGCAGAGTCCTACGTGACGCCAGACCCACGTCACCCCCTCTGATGACGTCAGTACAGCGTGTTGCTCCAATGTGGAGCTCATTAACATAAATACTGCAGTACTGCAGTGTGTACAGTAGAGTACATCAAAATACTGCAGGATCAGAGTACTACTAAAATACTGCAGTGTGTACAGTGGGGTACATCTAAATACTACAGGATCAGAGTACTACATAAATACTGCAGTGTGTACAGTGGGGTACATCTAAATACTACAGGATCAGAGTACTACATAAATACTGCAGTGTGTACAGTGGGGTACATCTAAATACTACAGGATCAGAGTACTACATAAATACTGCAGTGTGTACAGTGGGGTACATCTAAATACTGCAGGATCAGAGTACTACTAAAATACTGCAGTGTGTACAGTGGGGTACATCTAAATACTGCAGGATCAGAGTACTACTAAAATACTGCAGTGTGTACAGTGGGGTACATCTAAATACTACAGGATCAGAGTACTACATAAATACTGCAGTGTGTACAGTGGGGTACATCTAAATACTGCAGGATCAGAGTACTACTAAAATACTGCAGTGTGTACAGTGGGGTACATCTAAATACTGCAGGATCAGAGTACTACTAAAATACTGCGGTGTGTACAGTAGAGTACATCAAAATACTGCAGGATCAGAGTACTACTACTAAAATACTGCAGTGTGTACAGTAGAGTACATCAAAATACTGCAGGATCAGAGTACTACTAAAATACTGCAGTGTGTACAGTGGAGTACATCTAAATACTACAGGATCAGAGTACTACTAAAATACTGCAGTGTGTACAGTAGAGTACATCAAAATACTGCAGGATCAGAGTACTACTAAAACACTGCAGTGTGTACAGTAGAGTACATCAAAATACTGCAGGATCAGAGTACTACTAAAATACTGCAGTGTGTACAGTAGAGTACATCAAAATACTGCAGGATCAGAGTACTACTAAAATACTGCAGTGTGTACAGTGGGGTACATCTAAATACTACAGGATCAGAGTACTACTAAAATACTGCAGTGTGTACAGTGGAGTACATCTAAATACTACAGGATCAGAGTACTACTAAAATACTGCAGTGTGTACAGTGGAGTACATCTAAATACTACAGGATCAGAGTACTACTAAAATACTGCAGTGTGTACAGTGGGGTACATCTAAATACTACAGGATCAGAGTACTACTAAAATACTGCGGTGTGTACAGTGGGGTACATCTAAATACTACAGGATCAGAGTACTACTACATAAATACTGCAGTACTGCGGTGTGTACAGTGGGGTAAATCTAAATACTACAGGATCAGAGTACTACTAAAATACTGCAGTGTGTACAGTGGGGTACATCTAAATACTACAGGATCAGAGTACTACTAAAATACTGCGGTATGTACAGTGGGGTAAATCTAAATACTACAGGATCAGAGTACTACTAAAATACTGCAGTGTGTACAGTGGAGTACATCTAAATACTACAGGATCAGAGTACTACTAAAATACTGCAGTGTGTACAGTGGGGTACATCTAAATACTACAGGATCAGAGTACTACTAAAATACTGCAGTGTGTACAGTGGAGTACATCTAAATACTACAGGATCAGAGTACTACTAAAATACTGCAGTGTGTACAGTAGAGTACATCAAAATACTACAGGATCAGAGTACTACTAAAATACTGCAGTGTGTACAGTGGGGTACATCTAAATACTACAGGATCAGAGTACTACTAAAATACTGCAGTGTGTACAGTGGAGTACATCTAAATACTACAGGATCAGAGTACTACTAAAATACTGCAGTGTGTACAGTGGAGTACATCTAAATACTACAGGATCAGAGTACTACTAAAATACTGCAGTGTGTACAGTGGAGTACATCTAAATACTACAGGATCAGAGTACTACTAAAATACTGCGGTATGTACAGTGGGGTAAATCTAAATACTACAGGATCAGAGTACTACTAAAATACTGCAGTGTGTACAGTGGAGTAAATCTAAATACTACAGGATCAGAGTACTACTAAAATACTGCGGTGTGTACAGTGGGGTACATCTAAATACTACAGGATCAGAGTACTACTACATAAATACTGCGGTGTGTACAGTGGGGTACATCTAAATACTACAGGATCAGAGTACTACTAAAATACTGCGGTGTGTACAGTGGAGTACATCTAAATACTGCAGGATCAGAGTACTACTAAAATACTGCAGTGTGTACAGTGGGGTAAATCTAAATACTACAGGATCAGAGTACTACTAAAATACTGCAGTGTGTACAGTGGAGTAAATCTAAATACTACAGGATCAGAGTACTACTAAAATACTGCGGTGTGTACAGTGGAGTACATCTAAATACTACAGGATCAGAGTACTACTAAAATACTGCGGTGTGTACAGTGGGGTACATCTAAATACTACAGGATCAGTACTACTAAAATACTGCAGTGTGTACAGTGAGTACATCTAAATACTACAGGATCAGAGTACTACTAAAATACTGCAGTGTGTACAGTGGGGTACATCTAAATACTACAGGATCAGAGTACTACTAAAATACTGCAGTGTGTACAGTGAGTACATCTAAATACTACAGGATCAGAGTACTACTAAAATACTGCAGTGTGTACAGTGGGGTACATCTAAATACTGCAGGATCAGAGTACTACTAAAATACTGCGGTATGTACAGTGGGGTAAATCTAAATACTACAGGATCAGAGTACTACTAAAATACTGCAGTGTGTACAGTGGAGTACATCTAAATACTACAGGATCAGAGTACTACTAAAATACTGCAGTGTGTACAGTGGGGTACATCTAAATACTACAGGATCAGAGTACTACTAAAATACTGCAGTGTGTACAGTGGAGTACATCTAAATACTACAGGATCAGAGTACTACTAAAATACTGCAGTGTGTACAGTAGAGTACATCAAAATACTACATGATCAGAGTACTACTAAAATACTGCAGTGTGTACAGTGGGGTACATCTAAATACTACAGGATCAGAGTACTACATAAATACTACGGTGTGTACAGTAGAGTACATCAAAATACTGCAGGATCAGAGTACTACTAAAACACTGCAGTGTGTACAGTGGGGTACATCTAAATACTACAGGATCAGAGTACTACTAAAATACTGCAGTGTGTACAGTGGAGTACATCTAAATACTACAGGATCAGAGTACTACTAAAATACTGCGGTGTGTACAGTAGAGTACATCTAAATACTACAGGATCAGAGTACTACTAAAATACTGCAGTGTGTACAGTGGAGTACATCTAAATACTACAGGATCAGAGTACTACTAAAATACTGCAGTACTGCAGTGTGTACAGTGGGGTACATCTAAATACTACAGGATCAGAGTACTACTAAAGCAGATGTACTGATCGGTGGGTGCTTGTTCTCCAGGTGACTTCCTGTCTGACCCACAGTTCAGTACAGGACTCCGTCTCCCAGAATGCTTTGCTGCGAGCTGAAGACAACTCAGGATTTAAAGGGACAGTTCACCTTTTCACTGACGTCATTAACCCCTCCTTTACTTGACCGGGGGTGGACAAAATAACAGAAACAAGTCAGTAAATTCTGCTTAACAAAAAGGTCACATGACTCATGTGTAATGATGATGTCACAGGAAGAAGAGACACAGCGAGCTGTTTGGACCTGATCACTTTATTGTTTCTGTACAAACAAGAACATCAAAGAGCTGCAGCAGCTTCTTCTTCACACCCGGGAGGGATACAGCATCTGCAACACAGGAAGTCAGACCGTCACAATAAAACCACATGGTCACTCAGTATCTGCAAAAAATGCAATAAAATCCATAATCAAAGCTATTTTCAATTCTATATCTGGAAAAGGAAAACTCACTTTATTAAGAAAGGCAGTAAAGAACATGAAGAAGGCGAACTTCAGGCTATTGATCGAGTGCTTGAATTGTACTATTAAAACAAACTGCTGAAGGTCATTTTTAATTCATGAAAAAACTATTTGTTTCATATTCCCAGTGAAATTTCTATCCGGATTTTTCCCCACTCTGGCTAGAAAAAGGAATCTGGTCTGTGACGGACTTACTGGACAACACAGGATTTTCTTGTACAGTCATTTTGCTCCAAATTTAAGCCTTTTCCACAGAGGTCAATGTGCAAATGTTGTCAAAGCAATTCCTCAAAGTACTATGAAAACCTGATCTCCCTTCGCTTTTGGTAAATGGTCACAATTTCATTAATATTAAAATTACCAAACTTCACTATTAGAGAAACATTTGTTAGAGAATTATATTATATTCCATTTTTCACAGGAAGTCAGTTTTTATGACGTTACAGTTTTTATTTAATCCAAGAGAAGAAAGAAAATTACCACCTTAAAATGTTCTTTTAATACTTTTAAAACCTGCAGGTACCCTGATACTACAGGCAGTACACACTATGTACTGCGTTTCACAGTAGTCCGCAGTACCAGGCCTCTGGTTCAGAGACAGGACATCCAGGCTGATCTGTAACGAGCTCACGCTACGGCTAGCAGAAACTGTCACACTACCCATAAGGCATTGTGGCTTTGCATTGTGGGACATGAGGTGCGTTCACTTACCACTCTGACTCTGTGTCCGATGGCTTTGGCCGGCAGGTTGCTGCTGAACTTGGCCCGGACCATCCCGCTGCTGCCGTGCGCCCGGGTCACCTTCCCCCAGATCACTCGGGTCTTGTTGGGTTTACCGCCGGGCGTCACCGTGTTCCTGCAGACAGGAAGCACACAAGGTTACACGCTGAACACACACACACACGTGACCAACACCCACGGATCAGAAGTCAAACAGGAAGCTTCACCTCCAGGTCTAACACCTCTGACACAGGTCGGCGTCTTCGTGGATCGCACCTGGTCCCTGCGTCGGGACCAGCTCGAGGCTCCAACGGGCCCCTGACGGGACAACCCGCCATTTT